ATATAGACATATAACATCAATGGATATCATTCATGCTGACTGTAATCAATAGGATTACTAGACTTTTGCATTCCCGACCATGATCGTGTAGGAAAGATGACGAGTCAAATCAATAGTTGTTGTAGCATATTTCCTTTCTATCTGTTAACATGATGTTCACGGTTGGACCCATAGAGTTAGTTTTATAATTGAATCCTGCACAGCTTGGCTAAGACAAGTATTTCTAGTTTCAGGATTAAATAAAGTAGACTGGGATGATACTCGCCTTTCGTTAACTGGGCCATCATTGTCTAAATCGACATTAGTGGCTACTGTAGTTTCGACTTCCGTTGTATCCATTACCATGGTGTTCACTGTTGGACCGATAGAATTAACTTTCAATTGAATCATACATGGCTTCAATGAGACAAGTATTTCTACTCTCAAGAATGAATAAGGTGGGCAGGGATGGTATTCGCTTTTAATTGAATGAATCATTGTCGTCTAAACAGACATTGGGTAATTACTATAGTTTTAGTTAGGACGATGATAGACATGGATAACTCCAATTTTGCTTTACCCACCGTTCGTGATCATCATTGGCTTCTCTCAGTGCAAATCAAGCTTGATGGACTGCTGGTATTTTATTCCATTAAAATGATCAAAGTTGTCCTTATCCGATTGAGTAATAAAGCTGGAGAATACAATAAAAGCCTGGGAAGTAGACGAGTACAATGTCGAAATAGAACTACAAATTTCATCCTTTCCTTCTGCCATTACTAGTCCGTTAGTAAAGTATAGCAAGACATGAACAATATTGTAAGGATAGTAAGATAGAATGAAATTATCAACATACACCCTGCTGGTATCCATTACTGAGTAGATGCACCCCGGGCTGTGTGCTCATCCTTTCTCGGATAGTGCTAATAGGGGATGATTAAGCCAACATGAATAGCACTATACGCTAACGCTATGCTTTTAGCGCACCATTAATTCTAGAACAACACAGTGGATGGATTCATTTTTTTTCTTTTAGCTAGTGATTGCCATACCAATTTTAATGTTTGATTGTAGCTTTTGTCAACTAAAATATCTATTTCACATTGTGCAAGATACAATGAAGAGTCCTAGTTGTAGACAGTACTTTAACGCTTTTGAAATACTGAAAGTAGACATTAAGAGAACGATTGGCTTATCCTTACAATGGCCGAATTCTCATTGAATCGTAGACTTCCTACTTGCCACCTTACTTGTACTTGTAGAATGATACTGACTCTTTTAGATTAACTAAAACTAAATTAATTTTCGATTCATTCCCTACTTATCTTCCTCTCGTTACAGTCACAGAAAGTTGTATACTGATTCAGTATTTATTCATGTCTTCACTCATACTAGCAAGCATGAATTTTCAACGCTGAACGAGTGGGTATTTCCTTACGATTAGTAGCTACAGAACTATCTAATTGTCTCGAAAAAATTACGGCCCAATATACCTTAAATTCAATACCACTAGTCTTTATTAAAGCATAAGTAAGTTGATTAGGGAATATGATATTTCTCTGTTACATTTTACAATTATTTGCATAATTACTGTTCGTTAGAATAATAAAGTAAGGTAGATTGGATCCCTATTCCAATCAAGATAGTGTAGAGTAGAGGTATGCCAAGGAGAGTGAAAAGTATCATTCTAGTGAACGAGTAGTTGAAGGGACAACCTAATTAAGGATGAGAGGTGGAAAGTAAACTAGTCTAATATGGCAAAGGTAGCAGAAAGCAAACTTGCTGAGTATGCGAAAGGAAGTGGAAAGCAAGTAGTCTAGGTGAAAAGCAGTAGTGTACAAAAAGAAGTGGACAGCAAACTAGTGAGTATGCCAAAGGTAGTAGAAAAACAATTAGTCTAGATAATGGGCAGTAGTGTACAAAAAGCAATTAGTCTAGTTGAAGAGCAGCAATGGGAGGTAACTAACTTAGCTTACCAAGTGAGATGGAAAGCAAATAAATCGAATATGCCAAAGGGTGCAGAAAGCAACCAGTCTAACAATGAATAAGCGAAGGGTAGAGTAAGTAATGAGTTGATGCTTGCCAAGGCTAATGGAAAACAACTAGGATAAGATTCTGGTAAATCCATGGCTAAAATGACGGACGAGTATTGATTACCAGCACAATCAGACTAACCTAATGGGTACAAGGGTACGAAATAGAAATGTCTTCTATTTTTTAGTGGCTATACACAATTACGCGTACAATAATATGGAAAAGAATCTATAGGTTGGATTGTCCTGGAGGTTAAAGCACTGTAAGGCTATAATGGATATGTTAAAAAATATAACCTTGAAATAGTATTCAACTTGTGGGCGGCTAGAATGAATGAAAAACCAACAGGACTCTTGGGCATCCATCTATCTAAGTGAATGATCGATTGATTTGGTTACAGGCTATGATTGTAGTTGATATTTCACATGATTTGAGCTGTCAATTGATGCAATAGTATGGCAATGACATGATTAATTGATCAATCAAGCTTGATATAGTATTGATACGAGTATTCAAGGAGTATCCTAGTTTCTATCTGGTATATTAACATTAACTGATCTATAAAGGATGACCAAGGTAAATAGTGTGTAGGAAGTAGTATAGCCATAAAAATTTTGTCATCTTCAAGCACTTAAACCAACCTTTCCCAAGCGCTGTCTTGCCCTATGGAGGTTAAATATGATTTCCTTATTGATTGGACTAGAAAAAAATCATTATCCAGGCTATTCATTAGATAGAAAAGGATCAATGTAGTAAATAGTGCGTTGGTAGTAGTTTAGCAATGGAAATTTTGTCATTTTCAAGCACTTAAACAAACTTATCCCAAGCGCTGTCTTGCCCTATAGAGGTTAAAATATGATTTCCTTATTGATTGGATTAGAAAAAAAATCATTATCCAGGCTATTCATTAGATAGAAAAGGATCAATGTAGAACTCGTCTATGTTGAATTAATGATATAAAATTGCTGTATTAATAGCTGATGTCGCCTGGTCTTAAACGTCATATTAATTAGACAATATCTTCCATAATATTCTAAAAGAGAATTGGTTTCGGTGATACAACCATTTTATCTCGTCTATTTACTAGTGAGGTAGATGGAGTTTTTGTAGCGCTTGATTTATTAGATTAATGATCAATATTTCAACTATTTATCCTTGATTATAAAGATGAAAAATGACTCGTCCAATCATCATCAAAATGGTAGTCTTCATGTTGAGCAATACTATCTTTTATTCCCTATTGGGTGATATAACCATTTGATCTCATCTATTCACTAAGGAGATAGATGGAATTTTTCATAACACTGGATTCACTAATTATATGTCTATGATCAATATTTTAACTACTAATCCTTGATCAAGAGTATAAAAATGATTGCCCTTATGTTGAGGAATACCATATTTTATTCGCTATCGGGTAATCTCATCAATTCATCGATGAGATAGATGGAGTGTTTGTTAGGCTTGATTCTCTAATTGTTCATGTTGTACGCATCAACATTTCAACTACTGATCCTTGATCAAGAACATGAAGATTATTCGCCAAATCATCATCCATGGAAATGATTGTCTTGATGTAAAGGAATAGAATGTTTCATTTCCTATAAGGTGATTTCATCGATTGACTAATGAGATCGATGAAGTTTTTGTGACGCTTGCTTCATTATGTTATCAATATTTCAGCCGCTAATTCTTGATCAAGAACATGGAAATTACTCATCAAATCATCATCAGAATAATTGTCTTGAAGTAGAGAAATACTATTTCTTTACACGCTATCGCTTGAAGCGATGTCGCAACGGTGCCATGGGAAGGAAAGGATTATTTTTAGGAACTAGTGCCTTTGATTGACAATCATTTTAATCAACTATTTATTTCCATAATAATAAAGGCCCATTTTCAGTATTCTGACTGAATGAGAGCATGAAATAGAACGCTTCTTCATGTTTTCCTTCTTTGCTATTTAGATATTGACTTGATGTACTGATCACGAACTAATTATAGATTGCTTATGGCGATCTTCATTCAGTACAATAGGATAGTGGACAAAAAAGTTGAAAGTCATCGTTTATAAGAAATAAACATTTCAGTCAAAATTGAAATTCTTCCATTCTTTCTGATCAGTAATAAAGAGCGAGTTTTCTCCTTTCAATGAGTGAAACTGTGATGACTTCCTTATCGTCTATTAACTTGTAGGCAGTAAGGCGTTTTGGAAACCATCAAGATACCATTACCATCCATAGATTCAATTCGATAAAAAGCCCCACTCGCATAGCAATAACATTTTCCCATGACTTATTTAACTATTATTAGTTAATACAGAGCTGCTTTCTAATTGATCTATTCTATTCTCGAATCAATCATCCTCATAGTTTACCTTCGTTTTGCTTTTTGATCTATTGATTAGAATCATTTCAATATTTGCAAAAGAAGAAAGAATGAATGGCCAAGTTTTCCTGCCATCATTGTTAGCTGATACAATAGGAGCCACTTCGCAAATTTAAAGAATTAATTTGACCTAGGGCTGAAAATAAGTTAAAGTAGTTTTCATCTCTATTTTGAAGCAAAGAATATTTTTCAACCTTTCAAGAAATAATTATGAGTACCAAAGATTCCCATCCGCCGTCCAAAACCGCTAAATATGGACCTTCAGCTACCAAAGCAAGAGCGGCAGCACGGCGTGGGATATCAAGCAACGATAAAGTCGCCAAGACACCACAGAGTAAAACAACTCGATCACTAAATAGAAAGCCAAGCAGTAGAATGTCTCCCTTCACCGCTAAAGATCCAACAAAATCGGGTAAAGGAACTGTTTCCAAGGCTAAACAAACAGGTAATTATAGCCGTAATATTGCAAGACAACATCAGTCTGTAGTTTTCTCCTTACGATATCTCATCCTCAAGCGAATTGCACCTTTAATAGGGAATAAAGAATAAATCGCCTGTAGCCATCATTCATCATACGTAATCGGTAACTTTTTATTTTTACAGAGGAAATGAAAGCCATTCAAAAGAAAGTATTTGTTCGTTGGATCAACTATCAAATAGCCAAGGTATAAATTAATCACATCAACAACATACAATGATATTTATTGCAATCCTATTTTGAGTTCATTTTTATGCAGCTAGAGAGGTATAGACTAATTTTCTTGCTTTGCCATATCATGACTTGATATTCATACTGGTTAGATGTGTTGATTTCAACAAGATACTCATTTTATTTACGCCAGTCGAAAATGAGCTAAGGGTTATCACTGGTAGATACATTCGTAGATGATCTGTTTTTCCTTTTTATATGTATATTATTCCATTGGATTAAGAACATAAAACTTTATTCAATCATAGACTAAATGATAATTATCAAAGCTTGCGTATCTAATAAACTTATAGTCAAAATGTATTTTACAAACTTGATTTATTTGATAGTGCATGATTTGATTTTATGTCGAGTTGAAAGCCATTAACTGATCTTTACTTTTTACGAATTCACATTTCACTTTTATAAATCAATTTGTGATTGCTAAATTTTATGCTGTATAGATCTAGTAACGTTATCTTCATCAATCTTTTAGACTGAGAATCCTGTAGCAATTACTAATCTAATTAAAGACCTAAAGGATGGCAATATCCTCTTAACTTTATTAGAATTAAACACTGGTGAAAAGATGGTAAGTTACGTAACGATATTAATTTTGAATAGGATATTGGACTTGTATAGTTTACTAGAGAATATAAAGGTGTTGAAAGTCAATTCGTGAGCAATATTGGACTGTTATTGGACTATGAAATGACTTTCAATAATAATTAGTGATACCACGCCAATTTGCTAGTCAATGTTACGTGCCAGTTGTACTCTTTACATGTTTCATTTTTTGTCATAAAATGGAGCCATCGGTATTATTGCACAAGACTATTTAACTAGTGTTAAAGTGTGAAAATTAGTTACTTCTTTATAATAAGCTAATTAAGCACGCCAAAATATTTACTTAACAAATCTATTAAAGCATTAACATCTTGCTATAATTTCGCCTTTTAGCCTAGAGAAACTGGAAGACTTAGGATCAATCATATGTTCAATTGTAGTAAAGTTTTGGGTTATTTGCAGAAGCAGAAGGTATTCAAGTTAATTATTTTTCTTCAGTATAAATGCGATTTATTATGTTAGTGTTGTATTACAAAATCTTCATCAATGTAATGATATGAATAATATCTACATACCTTCGTAGAATTGTTTGCAGTATCATTTGTATATTAGAATAGAAATTAAGAGCTTGCCATCTCTATTTATCTAGATAAAAATTAGTGTAACAAGAAATGATGTTCCCGACGGTAAAGTTGATGCTATATTGTCTTTAGTGTGGAACATAATTCTTTACTTTCAGGTATTGCGATATACTGTTAAAAGTAATAAATAAGTCAGGTTACTTTTGACGTCGGTAATTCCAATTCATTCCTATAAATGATTATTGCTTTTATGTTGGAAAACAAAGATCGAAGGCCATTCTATTGAAAGATATACAACAAAAACAAAGATTGAAAGCCAAGTAGTTGATTCGAATTCTCTAAGAGGTTCCACTACACAATTGAATCAAATTGAGCCAGCAGAACAGCCAAAAGCTCCCATATTTAAGAAAGGAACAGGGAAGAAAGCTTTGTTGCTATGGTGTCAGGCTGCTACGACTAAATCATTGTAAAGATTATTTTTTAATATGGCAATAATTATTTGTGACATCTATTGAAGCAATTTGTGTCCGTTATCAAAATTCTTAAAATATTTGATTCGAATGTAAAAGTGATGGATTGGAATTTTAATTGCTCTTGTTTTTTTTTACCTTAATACCAATGGCTTAGGCCTGGCAGCTCACTGGGAGTTATAACCAATTTTACAACCGATTGGATTAATGGCTATGCTTTTATGTTTATCGTTCACAGCCTAAGACCTAATTTAGTGAACTTAGAGCAGGATATAGGCGATGATAACAAGAAAAATTTAGATAAGGCATTTACTTTACTGGAAGAGCATTTAAATGTCCCTAGGCTTCTTGAACCAAGTGGTACGTCTACTGGAATAATCCTTTCTTATAGATAGACAAATAATCTTCATAACTATGTATGCCTTTGTCTAAGTTCTAACGGCTTAATACATGTAGATGTTGATGTCGAGCAACCGGATGAAAAATCGATACTTACGTATATAGCTTGCATATACCGTAGATATCCGGAATTACCTAATTTAGCTACTATGATAGCTGATGAAGACTTAATTGACGATCAAAAGGTTATTCATATTATTATAAGTCACCTGGACATCATCTAAATAATACTCGGGACCTTTCATTCTTGCTATTTAAAATCGAATGTACAAACAGAAGATTACCTAGCTGCGTTTATGTAGTGTTAATAATGTTAAGATAGAAGTATTCATACATAGTAGAATTATAAAATTAAAATCTCAACCTTTGTACATACGGGTAGGTAACCAATGAATCCCTTCGAGGTCTTGAAGGTGAACTAGGTCGCCTAGTGAAGTGGATATACAATGCTGAAGAAATTTTAAGTAACAAAGAGAAAGGATTACATATTCCAGATGAAGGTGCCGTTGATGCCATTCCTATCTTGCGCTCACAAATAGATTTTCACAAGGTGATTTGATATCTTATTTTCATTCTATTCAAAGCAAATATATTAGCTTTTATGCTATACTATATTGGAAGAATAGCTTGTCCTTAAGTGATAACTTTATCGTCTTTCTGTTTAAAGAAATTCTTTCGTGCTGCTGCAATTTTGCAGCCTTGCCTGACGGATATATACAAGGCTGGTAGCTCCTACACCTTAGCCAAGCAAATACTTTCAGCAGACAATTTAAAGAGTTTGAAGCAACGCCTTGACACGATTCAAAACGAATTGACCAAAAGGATTCGTCATTTACACTTTATTGAAGCTAAAGAAGAATTTCTTATCAAATTTCATGTAGCTGAAGAAAATTTACACTCGGAATCGCACAACTTTGGCGATATAGAAACAGTCGAAGTAATTCTTGCTGAACATATGGTACGCTACAATGAAATAGCAATATATCTTAATGGATTTTATATCCGTATAGAATGGCAATGTGTTGTTGTTGCTGACTTATGGATAGTTAACTAAATCTTCTTTGCTTTGTTTGCCAAACAGAAATTTTTTAGTGAAAATTTATCCTATTTACATAATTGCCAAAAACATTTGGAAAAGGCTCAGCAAACGGGCAAATCTTATAAAGATGATCTAAATGATAAACAGAAAAAGGTCATCGATGAATTTTTAAAGAAAGCTTTGTATAATCTGGAAGGATTGAGTGTAAAAGTTGGCCTGACAGAAAGAACGATCCGTCAAGCTTATAATGACTGGCAAGAATTTAGTAAAGTTACAAGTATGATTGATGATTGGATAACATTGGCAGAAAAAGCATACAGTGCTTCTCAAGACGATGATCAAGTAATAGAACTTGTTCACTATAAATAGGATTAAGAACATTAATAATTATTTTGCCTACTTTTGTGTGCAAAATATTAATTCATCAGTGAACAAGTTTTGTCTAATTTTTGAAGGAGTAATACTATACCGATCTACTGTAATAAATCTTTTTCTTGACGTTCTTTCGTAGGAGTTTGTTGTATTTGTAAATGAATTTCCTGTTTATCAGACGCGAATTGCAAGAGCAAATGAACTTGGAAATTCTTTAAAGTCTTCCGCCAACAGTGCAGATTCAACCATTATACAAATGCTACTAGATAGATTATCTTCGCGTTTAGATATTCTTAAGCAGCAAGTTGATGCAGCAAATAAGAAAAAGAATGATGTTACTGGCTTGAAAGGGAAATATGAAAAGCAGTTAACTGAACTGAATAAATGGTTTAATGATATGGAGAATCTCTTCAATTCACAAATTGACAGCTGTTACAATGCGATTAAGGAGCAATTAAATAAATATGAGGTTTGTAATATAGAAAATGGCATTATGATATAAGTCATGAGTAAAGCTTAAATAACCTTTATTGAAATAATACATTTTCATTTTGTTTAACTGGCTAAAGAAATTCAATTAATTTAATTGAAAAATGCTATATAGATTTTGTTTAATGAAATTGAGGACTGGCAAATGAAGGTTGCTGAGTTTAGTGATACAGTGCAGATTTTGTGCTCCGCCAGTAAAGATGATATAACTGCAGTAGCTTCGTATGAAAATGTTGCAGCTAAAGTGAAACAAACATGGGGATCATTGCATACGCGTTTCTTTGGTGAGCACAGAAAATTCCAGCTTTTAATACCTCAGTTTCGTGAGGCGGAAAATGGTATCGATGAAATGTTGGGATGGTTGGAGACATCTGAACAACTAATTGAATCTTATAATGCAAACGTGATCGAGGATTTAATTGAAGCTGAAAAAAGATTAGACGACCATTTGGTAAATATGACAGTTATAATAATCAGAATCAATCAAATTGTTGCAATTTTTATCTTTCCATTAAATAATATGTTTTATTAATGTAATCTTCGTATTGATGAAATATTTAATAGTTGTATATTGTTTTCTAGTTGCAATTTTCAGATTTAACTGAGCATCAAACATTTATCGAAGCGAAAAAACGTGATTTGAAATTATTAGTCGATTTATGTGGGAAAAACATCAACCTCTATAATATCACTGACAAGATAGAGTCACAATTAATTCAAAGATGGGAGAAGATTTGTTCAGGTAAAGGTTATGTTATATTTTATGATGGCAGTACTTTGTTCTCTTTCTTTTGATCACATTTTTGTTGGAATTTCCGCTCTAATTTTTATTTACTTGTATTAGAATGCGCATCTTGGACAACTAGACTGGAAAGAAATGTATCGTGTTGGAGGAGATACGAAGGTGCTCGGCAAACCTTACAAGATTGGCTGCATGTAGCAAATCGTGTAATGGAAGAAAATCAACCTGGGATCGAGTTTAATACATCCCAGTCGAGATTAACTCACTTACAGTCTTTCTTTTCTGATTTGGAACGACCTACATCGCTCTTTCACAAATATTGTCAGTACGCTGAAGAGCTGAAAAGCGAATATAATGATAGCGCTCCAGGCATATTAGAAGATGAAATTGTGTGCGTTAAAGGAGATTGGAATACGTTAATGGAGAGCATACCTGCTCAAGAAATCCTATTAGAGTTGGAAGGAGTTGATACTGTTCTTACTTCCCAACTACGAGAGGCCGAATGTGAATTAAGAGCGCAGACTATTGGACAGTTGGACACAGCGGACGATATACAGCAACTTCTCGAACAGCATATTACCTTCTTTCATGAAATGGAGTTTTTTGATGATTGCGAGTTAAAAATAGAAGCTTTGGATGGCATCAATAGCAAAGCGTCTGAAGTACCATTATGTGCTAAGGAAGTGAATGATCGCGTTGTTAGCTTAAAAGAGCAATGGTTTAAAATGTGCGAAAAAATTAAAATAACGGAATCTAAACTAAGAAGTGCCTTAAAAGAATCTCAGAAATATCGTTCAACTTTAGATAAGTTAAATTTATGGATGGATGATACTGAACGTATTGCTGAACAAATTGATAAATGTAAAAAGCAACAAGAGTTAGATAAATTATCCACAAAATTTGAGGTAGGATTTCAGGCATGAAAAAAATTTCACCTTAATACAATTAAAGCTTCAAATTTTATTTATAATTCTATACTCTTTTGCTCTGAGCTGACTCATTAATTACTGTTCTATAGACCGCTTGCGCTGATCAACAAGGATATGAAGATACCATTAAGTGGTTGACATCCGAAATTGAAAATTTATTAGCTGATAGTGATGAAAATGTTCAATATAAGCAAAAGATGAATTTAAGACGATGCCTTGATCGATGGGCTGATGTAAACGATTTGATAGACATTACCCGAAGAAGGTTTGTAGCATCTTTATTTGAATTAATAAATAGCGTAGGTTACTATATGATGTAGACTTGACTAAAACGTGTGTCAATGGATACACTAAAATTCATAAATATATTTCGCATACAGGATAGTACTTTTACATGACTGGTTCGATTATGAAGCAATGATTGAGGATGAATTGACATGGTTAGATAGAATATGGAAAATTATTTCATTGAAATACGATTTCGACTCGGTCGCTGGAATAGCAGCACATATCGAAGAATATAAGGTAAATACCTACATAAGATGCGTTTGTTGAGTAAATCTATAACAGTTTTATTAGTATGACACATTAAATATTATATCGCTGTAGGAGCACAAGATCGAAATAGATGGCCACCAGAATAATATCGAACGCTTGGGCAAAGATGGAGAAAAATTCTTAAATGATGACTATTCGCCAGATAGAACTAAAGCAATGGTAAATAGATTAAAAATGATGTGGGAGGGTGTTTTACGCGTCTACAAGGACAACAATGAAGCTGCGACTCAAATGCAAGAAGACTGGATATCCGTCGAATATAGCATCCAACAACTGAAAGAAAAGCTTAAAGCTCTGCAGGAAAAGGTATCGATACAGCTGCAAAATAAGCAAGATTTAACTATTGTTGAAGTCAAGAATAACATTGCTGAAGCTAAGGTAAGGCATTTCTTGTCACTTCTCTGATGATATTTAACTTCTTTAAATTTTTAATTTAAAATATAGCTAATTCGATTAAATTTATTATTAAACAGAAACTAATAGATCAACATCAAGATGAATCGAATAAATATTGCACCACAAATGATCTCTACATTAAGAATGTCAAAGTATATGCAACAAAAGGGCGAGCATCGGAGTTTAAGGACCAATTTGAAGAAATATCTGAAAGTATCGATAATACCATTGCCGATCTCGAGAAACATATTACGAAATTGAATTATTATTCGGATGAATACGATGCAGTAGACATAGCACTTGGAGAATCAGAAAATTGGTACAATGGTTATATCCAGTTTTTAATAAAATGCAATAATGAAGAGACAAACGATGACAACTACGATAAATTGAAGGTTTGTATAGAGGAATTAGTATAATCCAATATTTTCTGTCCGTATTCAATAAAATTAGACTTGTGTTTTATACCATTTACAGAATTACTACGCTCAAGCAACTGGACGATTTGGCACTTTGGAGAAGATAACCGTTGCTATTAAGATGTTATCCATTGAAATGAAGGTGACTGAGCTAGAAGATAGATTAAAGAAATTTAAAGAGATT